TAGCAAAGAAGTAAGCTTATAAGGTACACAAATGTCCATGGGGAAAAAAAAAAGAAATATCTTGATAGAAGAGTCAGTTTGTCTGTGTAAGAGAAGGCTGGGGAAGTGACTAATTTGCTTGTTCTGTTGTATGTGCACTTTGATTCAGATGTTCCTTCTTTGATTCAGGCTCCCTCCTTTGCTTTCTGTACCCCCCACCTCGCCTTGGATTTTTCTGCCTTTTAGGAGAGACCAGGCAAGGGAGAGTGGAAGGACTCAGTGAGGAAGGAGTTAAGGGAATGCTCAGTGGGGATTATAAAACAGCCAGGCACTTGGAAACAGTTAAGAAGAGAGAAGCAGATCTGCCAGGAGGGAGTGTGGCAGTGGAGCCTGTGGTTTATTTTCATGCCTCCCTACACAGTGATGCAGAAGGCTCTCCTACAATGGAGATGGAGGTAACAGCAGTGGGAGTGGGGTCGGTGCTGGGATGGGGGTGTCAAGGTTAAATGGGGAATAAACTTACCCAGCACCAAGTTGACCAGCCTTCCCACTGGTCCTTATTGATATGATATGATCTGGTCTGGATGGTTGTTCCCATTGTGGGTGGCAGCACGTAGCACCTACCGTTGCCTGAGGGCATGGCCTTCTCCTTAGAGGCAGATATCCTCTGTGCGTGTGGACATAGGGGAGAGTGGTCTGTGCAATTTTGGCATCACCCTGGGAAGGTCAATGCAACAAACTTGCTGTCTGCTCAAGCACAGTGTGGGCAGGTCTGTGGGTAAGCGTACGTGAGTGTGAGTCGCCTGTGAGGTCCTCTGTGAGCGTGGCTGTGAGTGGGCATCTTGTGAAAGGCCACCTGGCCAGGATGAGCCTTCTGTCATGCTCTGATGTGGTGGCTTTGAGTCATGAGGAGCTGTGTTTTCACTCACCCAGCATTTGTGCCTCAGAAACCCAGCTGAGGCCTTCTGCACATCGCTTGACAAGGGCAGAGGCTCTTGGTCCTGGGAAGGAGAGGCTAATGCAGACCCCTGAAGGCAATGTGACCCGACAGACCAGGTTACTGGCAGGGCTGTGAAGAGAAGCCAGGTGGCTTCAGGCTTTCTCCATTATGTTCTCCACATGCCTGTGCTTGGGGCAGTAGCTAACCGCTTCCCAGTTTGAGGGACACTGCTGCTGTGATGATGAGTTAAAAGTGACCTGAAAGCAGGCCCTGCCATCACCTCCTGATTCTTCAAGTTTGTGTGTAAAAAATTGCGGTGTTTGCAGCCACGTGGCAGCAGGAGCTTATGTGGGGCTCTGACCACAGGGAGAACTGCATGTGTGCAATGTGGAGACCCATTTTTCTTGAGGAAAAAACCAAGATGCAACTACTGGAGCCAGAGTGTGTGTGGAGAGTGGGTTAGTCACTCTGCAAGTATCAGGGGCTTGCGGAGGAAATAGCAGGAGTTTGCTGACTAATGCTGATGATGTTCAAGGAGTAAATGAGAAATACACAGGGAAAACCCTCTGTTTCTGAATTTGGAAGAGAAAAAAAAAAAGTGAGGAAAAAAAGGAAGGAAGATGTACAGAGTTACTAATCAGCCCCCAAAGTCTCTGACCTATATCTCCCTCCTTTCCCTGGAGCCATTCTTGAAATGAAAAATTAATAGAGAACAACCAGGTTCTACCTCCAGGGTACCCTTTCAGGCTGCCATGTACTGCAGGCTGAGACCAGTTGATAGGACTTTGGAGTCCCTCAGCACGATGCAGAAAGCAGAGTAGTCTCAGTCCAGGACGTTGCAAGGATGTCCAGAGAGACTGAAAGCGAGAAGGTAATCTCCTCTCTGGGAAGGATGGTCTCTGGCTTCAGATGGTTGGGAAAAGGATGTTGAGCCGACATGCTAGGTTGAAGTAGACCAGTAAAGAAGGATAGTCCTTGAAGTTACTGTAACTTTATCAGGGGAAATGGAGGTGAAAAGGAAAAAAAGTATATCAGGTCATTAGCCCTCTGAGGGTGAAGTTCATTCTGTATACAGAATATTCCTTCTTCCCATTTTTAGTTTTTTAATGAGGAAAGAGAATCTTTATTTAAGAAGCTAAAACTTAGGGCTGTGGGCCAGGAGGTTTCATTTCCCAATTCCATTGCTGCCTTGCTCTTTAGGCTTGAGCAAGTCACTTGGCTGTCTTCTGGGTCCATTTTTATCTCTGTAGGATGTGGATTGTGATACCCTTTGCAAAACATTTTTAAACCTACTGAAGATAGGAAGGGCTACATTTTCTGAGGTGACCACGGCATGGATATCATGACAATAGCTGTGTGCTGTGAGGGAGGAGGAGGACTGATGCTGGAGGATTCTGCCTGCGCTGGAATAGGCTCTGCACCCACACAACACACCCGTGGCTTTGGGCACTGCCAGATTCATCCTCCCACGTGTCATGGCAGGGATGGAACTATGTAACCACTGAGTACCATGAGGAGTGGTGTTATTACCTGCTGTGGCAGCAGGGCTAGGCTAGCTTTGAGGGGATCTGAGCATATGTGAAAATCTGGTCCTTTACCATCTCCTTATGCTGGATGACCTCAAGTTGGGTGCCCAGGACTACTAGCCTTATTGTATGTACAGGTCTGGATGCATTGCGTTGTCTCTGTTGTGCTCCTTCAGAGCCTATCTCCTTAGATCTTGGTGAGATACCTCACTTACTGCTGTCTTCTGTGATAAATGTCCTCCATGACTCTCAAGGGCTAGAAGCTGAGCCATCCGAACTGTCTCTGCATGGACTTCTGCCTCTCCAATATTAGGATGCCTTACACAGCTTGAGAAACTAGGTTATATAGCAGCTTTAATGGGGCTTTTTCCAGACACTGATTGACCTGATTCCTCGGACCAGCTGTTTTATTTATTAAGCAAAATAGCAGAAAAGGAATGCATCTCCTACATAAATTTGTTTCATTGTGGAGTACGTTTAAACTATTTTTCTTTCATTAATTGATGTGGAGCTCTTATTTCATATTGATTTTGTAGATATTAATTTATGCACTAGGAATGAGGAAGATTTGCCTCTCCATCTAATCCTGTTTCTAGAGAGAGATTTACTTAATGTACAGTGTAATTTGTCTAATGTGCAACTTTGTATGTAGAGTGTACCCAGATTCAGCAGAAACAGTGGGTATAATAAAAGAGAGCACTGTAGTGCAGTGCTTTAAATCCCTCTGTAATTAAAAATACTAAATTAGTCAATGTTAGTGCAGTCAGGAGACATCACTAGCTGAAAAACAGGGATATTCAGTGAGAGTTTTCAGTGCAGGACAGAGAAACTGGGTCTGTGTTCCTCTCTCTGTGGATGTGGAATGTGTTTAGGGGCGGAACAGTTCATCATTTGCCAGGAATACAGCTTGGGTGGCAAAGAGGAGCTGTCGGGAGTTACCCCAGGGTTGTCCTTGCATGTTCCCAAGGTGTTGGAGGAACCAATTCTGCCAGCTCCCACATTGTCTCACAGTGTTGTCCAGTGTCGTGTGTGTGTGTGTGTCCCGAGTCCAGCACACACTTGGTGGACAGTTGCAGGGTTGGATTTTACGCTCCCACAAAAGTGTCTTTAAAATTACTTTATTGCTCTGAAGAAGGCTGGCACCAGCAGTTGGTTGAATTATTCACGCCCCCCCACCGTCTGTCTTTTTGTCTGTCTGTCTTTCTTTCCTGGTGTTAGCACAGATAAATCACCCCCTGAAATTTTCAGATGGGCTTTTATTTTTTTTTTTAGGAATTTGTGAATCTCCCTGCAGATAATCAGGGGAGGGATCAGTTTATACCAATGTAAGATTCACTAGCTCAGAGTACTGTCCATCTGCCTGTCCTATATCCAGCTTATGACCAGTGCTGCCTCAGTGCCTGACACTTGCTTTCTCTTTTCGAGAGAACAGGAGGAAAGGTGGGGCTTATTCTCAAAGCGAAAGCTGCTATTTGGAATTGAATAACAAGACTTCGTTGTGCATTAAGGTTAAAAATAAATTGATCTTGTTTACCTGAACAGAACCAGGATAAGAAATAAAGCTTTAGTTACAGTTTGCATTTATTTCAGTTTGACTTGATTCTGTTACTGTAGCAATTGACCTGTGTCGTTTCTTCAACAACTGAGAAGAGAAAGAAAGGTGTATGTTGTGGCAGTGACCTTCTGTTGAGGCCATGCAACAGCTTCCCTATTTTAAGACCTTCATTTTTAGTTGTTCACAACTTTACTAAACTTAAACTGTCTGGGCAGAAATTTTCCATCCCAGCCTCAGAATGTGTATTTAGAAAACAGCTCTTTTATACCTCTCTTGAATTTTTTGATGCATGTTAAATATAACAAATGTACAAAGAAATGAGAAAGCAAGCTTCCACATTAACAACTCAGTAATTTGAATGGTATAGATGTCGGGGGCACCATTTCTTCTGTCTCCAAGAGCATCAGCCCAAACTTGGCTTAAAGAAATGGTTGTCACCACATCCTCAACAGGCAAAACAAATCTTTGAAGGATTTGTACCTAAGAGTTTCAATTAGGCATTTAAAATTAGTGGAAGCTTTTCACGTTAATCCCTCTGTGCTTTGGTTCCCTGCCCATGACATACGGATAATACAGTGTCTTACTTTAAGAGGGCATTGTGAAAATACATTCCTTTATGTTTGTGAGACATTCAGTTACTCTAGTGATGCGTACTGTAGGAAAGGCCATGAGTAAATTACTAATTCCATCTGCAGAGCAGAGTGTGGCAGGTACCTGGTAAACAAGGCTTGGGGCCACACCTCAAACAGTGCCGAGAAGATGAAATAGGGACTGGGTGCTCGCTAGGTGAGCACTGTGTATCCTGCTCTACTGGGTGAGGCCGAGGTCCTGTAGAAAAATAGCCTGTGATTATGTGATTAACAGCTCTGCCATGGTACACAGGCAGGAAAGAGGGTCGAAGGTTGCACAGGCGACCATAAAGCTGAGGTTTCCTAAGCCTTGCGTTCTTGATTTGCAGCTTTAAATAGTCTTGCTTTCACCTTTTCTGTTTTCTGTGTAGTTGTTTGGTCATGGGGAGTGGGCATGAGGAATAATAAACAGCCGTTGCTCCTGGAAGAAGAGACAGGGAAACGCCTGGAGCCATTGGCCATCAGAGAGGAAAAATTCTTGGTGAAGCCTTGCATCCAGGAATTCCATGTAGGAGCATGTGTGCCCCTTGAGATAGAAGCACAGGGGTGGAGGAAAAAAGCAAATGAACCAAAATGTCTTTTTTTTCCTTTATGAAAACTGTTTGGTTTATGCTTTTTTTCTGTAATAATGCTCTGTACCATTAAACAGCAATGCCACAAACCAACAGACTTGCAAGTTATTTTAAGGAAGAATAAGATCACACCATTGCTTTTTCTGTGGGTCTTGTGGGTAGGCATTTCCTGGTTTTACCCTGGGTACTCACCGCTCTGGTTGCTCCCTCTCCTGGATCCTGCCCTGTGGAAATCCCAAATCATACACTAATGAGACGATCATCTCTAAGCTTGGGAAAATGATCCAGCCCTGACTCACAGGCAGAATCATCCCCAAATCCCTCTGCTTTTGTTCACTTTCTTACATTTTGCTTCCCTCTCATATGTGTTCTGCCCTCAGGTAGAAGGAAGTAGTGCTGCCCACAGCCTGTTCAGAGTTGTCTGTGGGAAGTAGCAGGGGAGGAGGAGGCTTTGGTTGAAGGTTTGCAGTAGAAATCGTGATAATGCCACCAGTGAGCAAGCTACTGAGTGGCTGAGGTGCACACGTCAGCAGAAGTTTGCCCATATCACAGTAGTCTCGGCTGTTCTTCTTCACTAACTTAGGATGGGAGTAAGCCTGTCACTCCAATGCTGTGGGGGACGTGGGAGTGGAGAGCAAAGATTGCCATGACCTGGGAGATGCAAGAAAGTTGTATAGACACAGTGACTTTAAGGGGTTATATACTCACCAAGCTGTATAAGTTGAGCAGAGTTGCTCATTTTGTGCCTACATTGTGAGTCAAAACTAGGATGCACATTTTCTTGAAATCCCTAAACCCTGAAGCCCGTGCACAAGAGCCTCTTCTTGCTGGGGTTTTCATAATTGATGTTTGGCTATTTCACAGTTGCTTTTCCCCATGGAGTTTCTCTTAAAAATACCCTATATTTCTTTTTAATTCTGACTGTGCATGGCAAGTTTATATTTCAGAAAAAATATTCAAACATAATTTTTTGTAGAGCTAGGATGCCATTAGGGTACTTTTGTGAGGGAACTGCTTATTATTTGTGGTGTCCCCTGAGAAGCTGATAACTGAAGTCCTACCAGTATTTCCACTTTTTCTGCATGTGTATTTTCAGAAAGGTTTGTCAGGACAGGATCAGTCTGCCAGCACTGGCTGGTTATTACAGTTGTTCAAGCATTAGGCAATTGTGTTTTAGCAAGCAACGATAGTTTCTCTTTCTTTCTCTCTTTCCCTTTTTTTGTTTCTTTTCATAGCAAATGCCTTTCACATGCCCTACTGTTGACTTCTCCAAAAGGAGCATGCCTTTTAGCCAGCAGCTTTCTGTGTGTAACACTGAGCTGAAATCTCTCATCTCTGTTGAAATCCTGGAGAAGAAACTGGGGTGGAGCAGATGGTTCTGCTTCAGCTGAGGGCCCAGTGAGGAAAGAACAAGGAGACCAGAGTCCCTTGGTCTTGCTTCAAGCAGTGTGTGTCTGCACACCGGGGCAAGCCCTGGTGTGGGTGTCTTTGGGCACCTCCAGGATGTACTATGGTTAGTGTGGATCACCACCAGCGCCCCATCTCCCATAACCCTAGCAAAGGAAACACAAAGTTTTTCTGGAGCAGGGATTTTGGAGGAAAGGGGCTGTTACCATGGGAGGGGCTTGTCTCCTCTTTAAGACAGTGTGGAGCCATGCAAGCAAAGGGCTCAGACACTGGAGCAATGCATCAGTCTGTTGCCCTGACCTCTGGTGTTCCACATCCAAACTGCGAAGTGTTGACTGCCATGATGTGGTACTTTTTAAATAATCCTCGCTAAAGGGTGGAAAGTGTCTAACCCATAAAGTCTCTGCATCCTCCCTCCCCTCTGCTCCGCAGAGCTCCTGGGGTGCCACAGCCTGCAAATGTCCTGGGAGGCAGAAGGTGAGGTAGTGAAGATAAAGTCCCTCTCTGAAGATCTGGTACGTGTTAGGACATAGGATGCATTACCCCATTTCTGACCTCTGAAAGTGACCTTATTTTCGTTTCTGACCTCATGAAAACCTCTTTGCCCGTTTGCCTGCCAGCCATCCCGGTTCCGAGTTAGACAAAGCACATAAGGCAGAGTAGATGGGATCACTTTTCTTTCCAAAAAAGAGTACAGGGCAACACGAGTATTTGTTTTGATTTATTCCTGCTCCCAGGTGTAATTATAACCTCTGAGTTTCAGTGTAAAGGTGGAAGGAGATGTGATTGAATGGGGTTAAGTTTGTTTTCAGATTACATTAATACGTGACTTATATGAAAAACAACCACCTTCACACAGGAATGCAGGCAGTATTTGCACGTTGCCTGTGGATTTATGAAACATTTGGAAACATACCATACATTATTTCATGAGACTTATTTCTTTATGCAGCAATGCTGTTTGCTTATTCTGGGACAATGACCAGATGTGAAGATATTAAAAACAAAATTAAAAAAAGAATAGAAAATGTTTGTTTCAAAAGTTAAAAGGGTCCCATTTCTTAACAGAACAGAAACAAAATGACAGGTCTTTCAGTACTTAGTTGGACCTTTAAGATATTTGCCTAGAGAAAACTCTTATTTATCATATGTTTATTTATACTTGTTTGAGAAAACTGTATTTGTCATATGTTTATATATACTTCCCTCTTTTTTTCCTCCCTCTTTTCTGTGAAGGCTGTTTACACCGAAACAGTATCTTTGTTTTCAGAGTTCATCTTCTCCCACTGCTCCTTTTCCAGCTGAAGTCACAATACTCAGTCTGTGACATCACCGTTGGCTGCCGTGACAACGGAGAATTTTCATTCCAGGTGGAGAATGTGCAGCAGCAGCAGCAAACACTCTGTTGAGAGCAGAGAGCGTATTTTTCTATGCATATTGCTAATCATGGAGAAAGAAGGGAAGGAAAAATCTGCAAGAAAATCAAATGTAGTTTTTCTGAGAGTGTGCTGCTGAGGTGGGCACACTTTACCCTCCTGTGGAGACTTTACCTTCCATAGGATTTCTTTTGAAATCAGTTAATGTCACTTAACTACAGTTGACTACAGTTTATACACCAGTAGAAAAGTACTTACTTTTTTAAAAGAGAGAGTGTGGGAGAGGGGTTTAGTTTAGATTCATGTATCACTGGGATACCTGAATTGTATCCTCAAGTTTTATGGAGTTTTTTTGCTTTTTTTTCCTACACAAACCCCCTTTCAAAAACCGAGGGAAGATAACTAATACCCTGATACTACCACCACACATGTGGTGGGCTTTCAATGTGTGAGTTGTCCTGCTGAGGTCAGTTAAGACACTTCTTATGCTTAAACTGAGACACAGGCCCACATGCCAGTAGTGTGAGGGTCTTGCCAGCTGCCCTAGGGGAACAGTTAAATAAAGATTTTATAGAATATCTTCTGATGCAGACACTGTCTTGACCTAGAAAAGCTGAAGTCTCCAGACTAAATCCACCAGGAAAAGCAAACAGACTGGCCTTACACCTTTCCCCTTTGCTTTTGTCTGCCTAATTCATCTCGTGGCTCATAGCCTTGCAGTTGCTGGTGAGGCATGAGAAGGTGAGGCATGTCTGCAAGTGTTTGAAGGACTGTGACTTGAGAGGTTACACAGTGAGATCATTAAATAGCAAGAGGGAAAACAGAGTGGTGAAATGGTCCATATCCCTGCTGACCGTATCACAATAATAAATTGAAAAATATATGTGCATCCAAAGTCTAGTTATTGGTGACAGGTTCACTGTTGAAACAGCCTGTCCTGATGGTCTGCAAGCATGGATGGAGCTGTCATTCACTCTGAAGGCTGCCCCAAAGAGTAGACATAGCATGCAAGTCCCTCGGATTCACTTGTGGCATTATTTCCATACTTCAGTCTCATGGCTGTACCAAGGGCTACAGGACAACCTTAAGCAGGAAAAGGTGTTGCTGTTTCTCCAACGCAACTTCCCTACCAGTGTGAGAGAAGCAGCACCTCCAGCTGACTAAGTACACTGGGAGTTGTGTTTTCTAAAAGACCCTGAGCAACCTCTGCAGCCATGGTGACCAATGAGAGTAGCCTTTGCTACAGGTTTTTTCTCTCACTTCCAGCATCCCAGGTAACCCAGGCATTTGCATGGTCAGGATCCGGTGTCCCAGTGAGAAGAGACTGTGTCAGTCTCTTTCCCCTGGCACCTCACTACAGCCATTCTGAAGCATTTCTGAATTGTCACAAGTCAGGAGGGTAGATATTTTCCAGCAAGCCCTGTCGCATAACTGTACTGGCAGCCTCAGGAGAGTGGCCATTTACCTACATCTGTGTTTTGGGATGTCTTTGGATTGATTGTTTGTTTGTTTGAACAGGGCTGCACACGCTGTGTTGCTGTTGTGACAGTCCATATGATTCATGTCTTGCACAGTCTGACAGGTTTATTGTAGCTCGTGTGTGCTGAGCTGCACACTGCGGTTGTTGCACGGCTCGTGGTTGGTGCCAGGACAGCCCGTGGTGCTGGTGCTGAGTTGTTAGCAAGTGCCAGGACCCCAGAGGGTGATGTGCGTGGGAGGGCCACTTGATAGAGCTGCTTGCCTTCGCCTTGGGAAGTGGAGAGGACATGAGAACGCTTGCTTGGGCTTTATTTTTTAAAACTCCTCCAGAAATAGCATGCTCTTTGGAGCAGGCAGAGCAGAAAGCAAGAGGGTCAATTTTGGGATCTAATGATGCTGTCAGGATCCAGTTTCACATTTATTTTCTGCCTCTGCTGCAGAGCGTGGAATAAGTTATCATTCCATTTGAACAGCTTGAAGTCTCTACTGCTGAGCCTTTAAAAGACTAAATAATAACAAGTTTTTAGGAACTATAGGATCAAAACCTCATGAATTTTAGGCACTTTAATAGCTCTTGAACCTTTGTACTTGGATTTCACTTAAACCTGTTTTTACACCAGTTTACACCAGTTACACCTGCTTCTGTTTGACATCTGTCTTCTTGAGCATTACTCTGTTGTGGGGTTCTTCATTTCCATTCACTGATGCCCACCTGAACCTTTCAACTCTTTTTCTTTTTCAGTAGTGGGTTTTTTTTGGGCAAAGGAAATAGGAGTGAAGGTGCAGAGGGCTGGGAGCAGAGGCACAGCGAGGTGAATACATCATGGCCCTGATGTAACCCAGGGATGAGCTGGAGGGAAGGACCAAGGCAAAACAGGAGTGACATCATTAGTTGGGAAATTCTGAGCAGTTTCACGCAAACCTGTTCGGTGCCATCTCACGGGTAGTCCCTGAGCACCATTTGCTGATGCTTGGGGCAGGTGGCAGGAGTGTCATCGGGAGCCTCCAGCCAGCAGGTTTTCTGCGTGAGCCACAGAGGGATTTGCACTGTTGATCTGCCACACGTGCTGTCCCCATTGCCCCCTGCTGCTTCGGAGTCCTCCACACTTGGCTCGGTGGTAGCTCGTGTCACGAGGCTCACAGGGTGACAGCAAGCAGTGCCGAGACAGGTTTCCCTGAGCAGCTCTGCAATGAGACCCAGCCCTTGCAGGTCAGTGTTGCTTTTCCATGACAGCACAGAGAGAACAGGCGTTTACCATAGAGATCTACCAACTGTTTGTTATGTTGCAGAGCCAAATCTCGCTTGTCTCCTTTGTGAGTATTTCAATAATAGTTAATACTAGGGCTTTCTGTGGCCCTCGGTGGTTTGATCACTCAGCTACATTTTGTTTCCCATTTTTGTCAGATTTCCGTAAAGGGGATCAAGGTGAGCTTAGTGTTGCAGGATGCTGAT